CGGCGGCTTCTCACTGAAGCGTCCCTTCATCCGGGAAGGCCTAATTTTCCTTGTTATTTATTGCTTGTTCTTGTTATTTTATTGCTGTCAGGACACGTTGAAGGGGGGAGAAGAATGCTTTGCGCGTAGTATAGACCAGGCGGCAGTTATTGCAGAAATTTGATGTGGTTTTAATTCACGTTCAGCTACGCAGAGCTGCTAAAAACAGTCAGTCTTATTCATCCTTGAACAACTAAACTTTCTGGAAAACGGACGGACCGGAAGATACCTAGTCGGGGAAATTCGTCTTTGTGCCTCTGTGGGGAATGTGCTGCGTGTTTACCTGGCGCCTTAGGCGCTTTCTCCGATTTGAGTGAAGCTCTAGGCACGCCGTTTTCCGCTGGATTCGGGAAATGTTCTGTTTTTTTTTGTTGGATCAATTTATCGGACGCTAGTTGAGTTGGTGCAGCTTTTTGTTTGATGACTTAATGCAGTATTTGGTTCACAAGTTGTTTTGATTTCTCTCCAGGCAGACAAATTGCTGAAAGCACTGAAGGAACACTTCAAAAATGAAGATGAAAATGAAAATAAGGTAATAGGCAATAAATTAGCCAGTCTTTTTTAAGAGAGAGAGCCCTAACTTTCTAACTAGTAGAGCAGGGCATGCCTGGAAGGTTGTTTTTTACTGTGGTGTTAACTATAATAAAAATACTTTTGTCTTAACAGTGCCTTGAGTTTAATGCATTCATGTGCTGATAGAAACAGATGTGCTAATATTAACTTTGAAGTGGCCTCCTACATGACCCAAAGCTGATTTCCTTTCAGCTGCCAAAAATTAATAATGTATTTTTCAGCATCAGTACAAAATTATTCTCTGTGAACACTAACATTTAATTTCCATTGAACAAATCTTCGTTCTTGCCTAGTTGGCTCCAGACACTAGTCAGTACCAAATATAAAAATATTTTATTCATTTTGCATGCGTAGATGAAAGGGACTAGATACTCCTCAGAAAGCGTTTTGCATCTACTGCAATTTACTGACACTGTAATGAAAGCAATACAATCGTGAGGTTTCCTTTATGCATTTCTTAATATGTGTTTCTCATAACTATTTTTTTAAGTTTTCTGTAAGCTGAATAATTTTTTGGGTATGGTGATGTTTTTTACATTTTTGAGAGAAAGTAAATTGGTATCTGCTCTTTCTAAAAGGTATCTCCCTTTAAGTGCTTCCTTTAAAACCTTTAAAAGTTTGAGGAACTGGTCTAATACTTGTCAGCTTATTTTTAATTTTAACAAGCATGGAAGAGGCTCTGATTTTTTTGGTGGAGAGTATTCCACAGAAATGTACAAATCTGGGAGGGTCACAGCATCATGCAAGTCTGGTTTCAAATACATAGGTTTTTGTATAGTCTTACTAAAATGTTATATAATAAAACAACTGTAGGACTTCTTTTTAAAGTCTTCAAGCAACGAGCTTTGTTTAGGGAAATCTAGATACTGCCAATTTCTTGATTACTATGCTACTAAATGGTGTGCTACTATATTTCCTCCATGTGAAATACTTTTTCCAATGATAAAATTGAAACTATCTGTTTGGAGTATATAATTTATGTTTGTGTCAGACATGTTCCACACTACAGTATTTTTCTGCTACAGGGCTCTGAAAAAAGTGCATCTCCTTCCATTGAATCAGATGAGCTGAGCAATCGGGAGGAAATTATGCTGGATTCAGTGTGTTTTGTTACAAAAAGACGTAGTAAAGAAAAGAAAATAACCAGAAAAAAGAGCTCCAATGAGGAAAGGAATTCCAGTGAAGAAAATCCAAGGCTTTCTGATGAGGAGGTGGTGATTTGCACTGCTTGGTTTTGTGTGCTGGCCATCTTTTTTTTAAGCATAATTTAAACACACTTGATTTTTTTTTTTTTTTTTTTCCTACCACCCTTTAACAGGTGGTATATGTTTTATATATATATACATATATGTGTGTGTGTGTAAGAATTTTGTGTGCAAATGTTCTGGTACTGGTCTTCTTTACTTTGTAGCACTGGTTTTGTCTATTTTGACTATATGCTGTTCTGTAATGAACAGAGATTACTTGTTACTCATTACTTCAAGCAAATAAATTAAATTTCTCTAAGAAATATACAATTCCAAACACCTTATCTGAATGTATGACTGCTTTCACTAGTTCATCATAGTATTCTGAATATTAGACTAGTTTCAGAATTTAACTAAAGTAAGGCTATCTTCACTTTCTTTATATAGAAAAAATTAACAGAAATTGGATGATTGCCTAAACATCACAATTTTTTTAATTCCCACTTGTCTAAGTGGGTTCTCTATTGATGGGTTGCATGACTGAAGGAGGGGAAGTTTCAAGGCGAGACAGAGGTAGAATTAGTTTTCTCTAAAATTACATGCAAGTAGTGAACTATGAACTGTGTGAAAGAGTTTTACTGATTTAGAGGAGGGAAATGAGAAGATGAAGAGCGTTAGTCTGTTGGTGTTAGGTAGAGAATTGTACAGTAACCAAAGCTACCATTGAAAAAAGTAACATAGCCAGTGAATTTATTTTTACTTGCAAGTAATTAATTTTTGTCAATAAAGGCAACTTTATACTAAAGTGTTAGAGCTGTGCAGGTAAAAGCTTTCCAATATGGGTCTGTCTGAAATACCAGGATAAGTATTTCACAGGTTGGACTTCAGAATGTCTCTAGCTCAATTGCCCAATCAAAGCAGAGTCAGACCACTGAAGGCTTCATCTAATCTGATATTGAAAACCTCCAAGATGGAGGCTGGGCAACCTGTTCGACTGACAGCCTGCTCTCAGAACCACAGCCTTTCTTTAGAACGCTGTCCATCTTCTTGGAATGCACTGTTTAAATGAAGTATGTTTAAACTGCAGGAGCATTCTGAAATGAAAGAAAACGAAGTGCCCCCGGGTGAGCATGAGAAGGTGCAGAAGGTATTAAAAAATGAGGAACAAGTAACTAAAAAGAGAGCTACTAAGAACCCAGGGATGGGTACTGATCAGAAAGCACAACCAAAGACTTCCACTAGAAGTGGTGGAGATGAACGTAAGTAGAAAATTCAAAGAAAGTAAGTTTAGTAATTTGTACTACTTAAAATGCACCTTTTGGTAATTCTATCGTGTCTGCAAAGTTGTTTGTTTTTGTTTTTGTTTTTTTTTCGTGGCAGGTCTAGTGATCAGTACCTTATTTGGGGATATCAGAAAAAAATCTCTCATTTGAGTTTGTGTACTTGTTTGTTTAACATACTGAAACACAAATTCTGCAATGCAGGAATTCTGTTGGCTTTGACTTCAGAACTCTGGACCTGATGTTTTTAGTTGGTTATTTCTCGAAGGTCTGAGGTCTTTGAGTCTTGTACCTCGTTTAGGATCAGTGCCTTTTGGAACACTCCTGAGATGCTACCCAGCTCCTTTAAAAAGTGGCGAGAAAGGGAGCGCTTCCTTCCTCATGCTTTGTTTTTCTTTTCCTACAGATGAACAGGTTTTGTCATTTTTCTTCCCAGGAGTAAATTAGTAGAAAAGGACATGGGCAGATCCTTCATAATTTCTTTAAACTGCCCAACAATACCTGAATGTATTACAATGGATCACTTTTCTATCTGGTGGCTTTTTTAGACCTTCAAACATGATGCTACTGAAAAAGTATGAATTAATTTCTCCCCCACTCCTTTGTGCATGCAGCTGACAAGAAGAACTGAGTTTGTCTGCCCAATCTGATTATTTACTGATATTGTGGGTCGGTCAAGATGCATACTGTTATTTGCTCCTGTTACACTAAGTGTACATAGTCCTTGAGCTGTGTTTATGGACGCTCTTGCTGTTCAGTAGAATTTACAAGGATGTTCTTATTGGAGCCTTCTATGATTTTGAAACTAATTTAGAAAATGAGGATTATTTTCAAGGAAGGTTCTTCTAAAAACAGAAGCAATAGAATATGTAGAGGATGCTTTAGCTGAGGCAGCATTCAGCCTGACAGTCGGCACAGTACTCATCTCTTCCTATGCATACTGCTCCCTGTTTTTTTTTGGTTTGTTTTCCTTTTTTTTTTTTTCCCAGTAATTTTGGACAGCAAGAGCTCTGTAACAGAAAAATGCTATGTCTGCATTTAGTGTTGAAAAGTTGATTTCTTTTTTTTTTTTTCCCAACAACCCCCCATCATTTGTTTCCAGTGAGGATTTCTTTCAATGTTTTGAGGTCATCCGAGTTTACTTTAAAGGGGATGTGAATTAACAGAAAAGCAAATGTTTGCTTTTGATATGCAAATATTGAACTCGATGTGAAGTCTGTGCCTGATTTTTTTTTTTCCTTGCTAAAATGAAATTAATCACTAAAACATGAACATGAGCTTAATACTATGCCTGAGAGCAGAGGTGATAAAAAAGAACTTAGACTCTGTATAAGGCGGAGGCAGAAAAGCTGGCCAAAAGGTATTTCTTTATTATCAACATTTAAAACCCACTAGCTTATTAAATAGATCAAGACCTGTGAATTTAAAGATGTTTTTGCTTATCACAAGCATAGTTCTCATGTTAACTTCCTCTGTGAAATACTTTACTATCGAGAGATAATACCCTAGTATGACTGTAAGGTTCACGCTTGGCTTGTAGTTTCTCCAGACGTGCTGTTACTGACAGAGCATTTAAAAGGTTTTGGGGAGACTTGGGACGTTCCTATTCCAGCTGATGTGTTTATTTTTCAAAACCTAAATGCACTTTGAGGAGACATGGTGTGTTTTGGAACAAATACCTTTAAAAAGGTTGTGATAGTGTTAAAATATTTTCCAGGAGTTCTAATGATTTTGTCTAATCTTACTGTACCAGGTGATGGTCATCATGCAGGAGGGAAGATCCCTTTATATGCAGGCCGTGCATCTAGGTCTGGGAAAGAAGGAATAAAAGCTACTACACCAAGTAAGATAACCTCCCATCTTTAGAAATAGACACGTTGTCTGTGTATGAAGGGAGACTTGACTTGGAGGTTTTTACAACCCAAAGTTCTATTTCTGCTTGAAGAAGAGAACATCCTCTCTTTAAAAAGCAAACAACCAAGAAAAGTTCCCAAAGTTTACATTTTAAGGTGTATCTTCCAACTTGTCAATTCATAGTAGTTAATGACTCACATGTATGTTATAAAACTGGTTTATCGAACACTTTAGTGTCTTTTGGATATAATGCTTGCATTCATGACTTCTCAAAACAACAAAGAGCAGGAAGACACACTATTACTCCCGCTTGATTAGCTTTCACTCTATAAATACTACTGTTGTGCTGCATTGCTCTATATTAGCTCATTTGCGTCACTTCATAAAATACATCAATTTAAATAAAATTTCGAAGTATTTCTTTTTCAGCTGCAGAATTTGGGGGTTGGACTGGATGATCTTTAAAGGTCCCTTCCAGCCCAAGCCATGCTGCTATTCTATAATTCTCCAGAGCATGCACTAGGTAACTGGCTGTAGAGCTGGTGAGGTAGATTTTATTTCATACGGTTTGGTTACCTGTGTATACACAGTTTTTAATTAGAGGGATAAGTCACGCTTTCTTTGAGGCCATAATGATAGATGTTGCAAGATTCTCCTGTTAAGTAGTAAATCTCCTTAGCGGCTTATGAGATATGTGACTCTTCTTATTTTTGGAACTCCTTAGACTTTAAAAAGTTGCATGAGGCTCACTTCAAGAAAATGGAATCTATCGCTGACTACCTTGAGAGGAAAAAAAAAGTGATTGAAAACTGCAGCAGTTCCCTCAGCGAAGTCAAGGTAAGTTAGAACACAGGAAGACAGCCACGCTTCCTGTGTTAATTTCTTTCCAGAGCTTCTCTGGAAAGACAGTCCTGTAGAGTCTCTTTAGAGCAGTAAGTAGCTGCTCGTGTGTACGTGCAGTGGAATGTTATAATCAGTGAAACTGAACTGCCGTCCTGTATAACTGGTTCTATGTAGTTATCTGTATGTAACTTGTATAGTTGTGTAAGTTCTCATATATTAACAGTGTATGGTTGTAGTTATAGGAACCAACAAGTAACTTGTCAGTTTTGAATAAAAATAATTAAGTCACACTTTCTGTTGTGAAGGATCTTGTGGAGCTTTCGATTACAGCCATTTGAATTGCTGTAGAACTTAACCAAGGGGATGGGTTATTTTTCCAAGAATGGGAATTAAATATTAAGTTCTTTTTTTGTGCCTTAAAGAACCATTGTCCACTGACTGCATATGACTCTCCTTTAAAATACATGCAATATATGTTGTTCTCAGTGGCCCTGATTGTCAGTTCTTGCATTTCACACTTGTGTGGGTGAAAGCTGCTAATGGCGCCTCTTTCAGAGTGGGACAGACCTAAGGTGACCGGAATGTATTGGTGAATACAGGGAGGGGTATGTGAATGGACATACCAAAACAGCAACACTGAAACTCCTGCACACTATGCTTCTCTCTTCTATGGCACGTGTTGTATCAGTGTATACTTAAGACAAATTACGTTTGGCAGGTGCTGGCCAAAAAGTCAGATCACCCAAAAGCATCAGAAAAAGGGACTCCGTGTAAGAACTCCAAGGTATGTGTTGTCAGATCAGTCTAATAATAATAAAAGTACTTATGTTTAAAATATGCTTTTAAAGGAAAAAAAAAAAAAAGGAAAAAACTGAAGAGAGTATGCTTCTGATTCACTGTGTGTTTTCCCTGCCTCTTAGCTGCTTCTCTGATAATTATTTAGCAGAGTCTGCTAACTTGTGATTTGCTTTTCCCTAGAAACAGACCAGCAGCAAGGCATTTTTATTCAGCCCAAACCCAGAAAGAGACAGATTCTCTGCCACGTGCACTCCTAGTAATCTCTGGCGCTCACCACGGAGTTCTCTGAATGCTGCCAATCGAAGTATTTTATCTAGGAAATCTTCATTTAATCCGTCTGTCCTTTCAACAACCAAAATGAATGTCAGGTAAAAAGAACAAACCAAAACTACCAGTGAGCAGTTGGGTATCATACACCTGAAATAATCAACATTGACTGTGGTTTGACTATGTTATTTATACTCCAAACATGAACTATATGAGACTAATTCTGATCACTAACTTTCAGCCCAGCTTTATGGCTGGTTTAGGCCTTACTGTGCTGTTAATCTCTTGATTCTTCATTTTGATGTCTGATGGTAGAGGAATCTTGCATGCCTCTCAGCTTTCATTTTTCTAAACCCTTCAAGCCAAATTATCTTTCTTCTTTTACTGTGTTAGGTTTTTCCACTTTGTCAGGCAACCTAATAGTCTCTGTTATTTCTGAATCTTTGAGATTACTTAACCAGAGCTGTATGCAGTATTCCAAGTGAGCCTCCCAATGGACTCATCTGGAGTTTTTTGGGGGGACT